GTTGAATACACCAGAGACGAAGTCAAGATTTAAATTCTGCAGCCTTGACCATAATCACAGAAAGACGCACTTCATCAATCCTGCAAACAAAATGTAAAATGTAACCATGTTCATTATGCACAATAAAATGTCTGGCCATAGCTTATCTTCTTGGACTGCTGCAACCTCAAGGTGTTCATCTGCTATTGATTAAATCATTTAATTTTAAATGTTCATATGAACACCTACAGACACACACAGACATAAATAATATGAGTGTGAGAGAAGGTTTATTTTTTCACTATCTTGGCCCTTCAGCACTTCAAAACAACTTGTCAGAAGCTGTCATTTTAAATTAGCAGACTAGCCCTTTACACCATTGTTTTTCTGACTCTGGTAAATCTGCAAGCTGTCTCCATCAATCACAGACCAGCAGGACCAACACATCCACCAGTACATACACAGCTGCACATTATATCTTCTGCATTGCCGACAATTACATTCAGGTCCACAAACTCACACACAAACAGAAACGCTGACACAAAGTGGTGCTACACTTGAACTCAGGCAGTGGCTTTTTGATAACAAATAAAGTAGTTGAAAATGATAAAATTGTAGCTGTCTGTCAAAAATGCTGTCTCTCTCTTTTTCTCCTAAGAGTTAAAGCAAAAAAAACAACAACAACCTTTTCATCATCCATATTACCTCCAGGGACCAGCAGATAGTAAACACTCCTAAAACTACAAACTATACACTAAGTTAAAGTATAAACTATAGAAAATGAACAGACACAAACAAACAAAGTTAGCACTCCTCTGCAGTTGCATATTCCCTCTCCAATAACACCACACAGTCACTATTTGGATCTTTATCAATTAATGACAGTTACATTGTGTATCATCTCATATTTAAGTTCTCTTGATAGAATTTTATTTTCTCTTTTCTTTTTTTTTGTTATTAACATTTGTTAAGATTAGGAATCAAATATTATTGAGGGAAAGAATCAATCAAAGCTATTAAAAATATCAAAAAGGCTTAGGGCTTTAAAGTCCCTCAGAGAAACAAATGCTTCTAACTTCAAATTGTGTTGGTATAAATATAGTAGTACACATAACTGTACTGCACATAATTCATCATCATCAGTGGATAAGTGTGTATATAGATATACACATAACAATTAGTAAAACCAAAGGCTGTGGTCATTAATTTTCTTATGTCATATCAAGACATTAAATATCAACTGCAAAATGAGAAAAGAAATGCAAAACCAACAGAGTACACTCAAACATAGGTTACAGTAGCTTTGCACTGAGACTGTGGTCTCAGACATTTACAGAAGACTCATGTGCCTTAGCAGATGTTACCTGCTTATTCCTCCCATTGCCTCATCTATTCCACATGGTGTGTTACTGCTTTAGAAGTTCCCATTTAGTGATTGAGTTTCATAAAGAACAGTATAGTACTGATGAGAGAAAACTCATGCCCATCTCATTTTTTAGATACCACAGCCTGTGTCATTTGGGAGACTTAATAACACTCAGGCTTGTATACTTGTTCCACAACATTTCCCCTCAGTATTCTGGAAAGATGCCGCCACAGCACTGTGGGCTATTTGCTGCTGACACGAGATTGTGATTGACTCCTTGATAACCTAACAATCTCCAATTTTTTGTTACTATCAATGCGAAAATAGGGGAAAAAGCTCCTTGCTTCCCTCTGAAAAAATCCATACACATGCACATGCAATCAGCAATTTAAATACTACTGTTAAAGTTGATTATTTTACACTGAAATGCAGTTGTGGTTGGTTGAGATATTGTAATGAAAAAAAGATTTAACACAGTAACCTATTATTTTATTATAAAAGCAGCTTGAGCAGTCAGTACAAATCCAACTGAACGATGCATCAGCAAGCCAGCAGAAATGTTATGACCAGTCCACAAAAGATAACCGAGCAGAGAGAAACATGTCTCTCTATGGCATCAGGGCATGAACCTCCACTTTGTGCTTCATTAATCTGTATAGTACAGAATGTCATGATGAAAGTATAGAAAAACAAAACAATTATACCTCTGTGATTGTTTTTTCTTCTGACAAACTCTCTGCCTGTTTTTGTTTGAACCTGGGGGACCAGTGTGAGTAAACTGTTTGAAACTGTTTTCCCAAGTGTGCGACATTGCCCCTGAAATAATAGGAGGGAATTGAAAACATGGTCTATCAATTAATTGCTTGTTTATTTTAATAACAGCCATGATAGGCAATATTCTGAAGTGCAACGCTTCATCGGATATGCAGCTATAAACAGACAGGCCTAGTCACTCGCAGACATGATAAAAGTCACACGTTTTGGCCCATCTGCATGAAATGTGTTTCTATTTCTTACCGCAGACACAGACACACTCATAACAGGCATTAGACATTCTTGAAATAATCTCATGCTTGATCTCAAATTAAGCCAGTGTGGTTTTCTTCTGGGATGCAAACAATCCCTGTGCGGCCTTCAGAGAAACACTTAACCTCATATGACTGAACCCTGTGGTGATTTGGTTAAAACTGCAGCATGGCATTAAAAGTTAATGCAAACAAACAAACAACCACACTCAGCATCTTAGAAGTACAGCATCAATGACAATTCATCTGCTGAGAGGAGTAAATGGCCTGTGTGTGGTGTCTGCAGATGTTACTAAGCTAGACAGAAGATAGTGAATAAATGGATAAATAAGTTCAGTTACTGCCTTTGAACCAACAGAACGTTCATTGTGTGTTACAACAAGTTAAACAGCCTGGATCCATTTAGATACATCTATCATGTCTATTACTTGACTTATTTGAAAGGCTGAGTTATCACACTTGTTAACCTCAGCGCGAACCAGCGGTTCACAGAGAGGTTAGGCAACCTGGCTGCACACAAGCTGTGAAAGTGCCATTCACCTCTTTCCTCCAGAAGATGGATGCACCATTTAATCTGCTATTTACTTGTTGTCTGGCCTACATCGCAGATTCTTCAAGCACTGCAGAAGGGCAAACTTTATGGAAGTGGTCATTTTTATTTGGCTGAAAGGAATTTGGAGAAGTAATAAAAAACTTACATGACCTCTCCAGAAGTAGGCGAATATATATAAATTTTCTTCTCAAAAGCCAGTCAATTTAAAACAGAGGACATTATTACTGAGAGAAACAGTAGTTGTTTATAGTTATGACTGTCACCTCTGGGAGAAAATGTCCCTGTAGGGGCTGCCGTGCTGCATGGCGATACCATATCCACGATCTGGCGCATTGCTGCTGACGGTGTAGAAGGAGCAGTAGTTGTTTATAGTTATGACTGTCACCTCTGGGAGAAAATGTCCCTGTAGGGGCTGCCGTGCTGCATGGCGATACCATATCCACGATCTGGTGCATTGCTGCTGACGGTGTAGAAGGAGCAGTCTTCATCATTATTAGCAATGTACTCCAGCACTGCTGCATCCCACACAAAGCCGAATCGGCCATACTTCACCTGAAAGAACAAACAACATTTTCATACAACTTTCAACCTTTCCCGAGGTGCATCTGTACCTCAGGTCATGCAGCTGACATCCTACAACATTCTGTAATGGAGCTATGAAGAAATTCTTGATGGTAACTAGGAAATTGATCCACTTAAATATTGTCATTAATTTTTGCAAAAACACTTCAACTGAACAAGCATAAGTGGAGATGCTTTTTATAACATATTGGCCCATAATTGTGAGCTGGCAGCTGCACTATATTTCACTGCCTGATGGTTAAACAGCACCACAGACATTTGCAGCATTATTTTAACATGCATCTATGTCTTGTGAATCTTTCTATTTTGTTTAAATGTCTACAGTGTCTTGGCATGACCCCATGTGCTTTGTTAAGCTGACCTCAGCAAATAACATCACAAATGGCTGCAAGAAAAATGAATTTAAGGTATGATTGAGAGTTCTTTTACTTTAGCTTATCTTTGATCAACTAAGGGTTCCACAAACCTACTCCTTTGTTTTTTTTTCTGGCTGAGCTTAATCATGGTTGACTACATTAAGCACAGGCATTGTCAAGATGGTCTAAGAGAACTAGTTCACCTCAGCCCACTGATATTTCATAACCTTAATCCTTTCATCTTTTGTTGAAACATGCAGTGTTGCACCAAGATTACACTCTTTGTCTACTGTAAGATGGGAAACTATACAGCACAGCAATTTTACTGTTTAACATTCCCTCTTGACAATAAATGCACAAGTGTTAATGGCTTGTTGCCTCATCTTTATTGCACCCTGTGGGTATGTGGTGGGTATGTTTCACATTTTTATGTGCATGTCCTTGTTTTGTATGTGTGGCCAAACTGTAGGTAGGTGGAAAGTGGATGCCTGCAGCTTGTACTGCAAGGTCAGAGTGACTCAAGGTGAGAATCACAGCTTATGTTAATAGAAGCTGAGGTGCCCACTGTTAACATGGCTTCTTGTTAATATTCAATCAATCTACACTATATTTACACAAGAAAATGAAAGGTGAAGAATGAACAACCTGTATGTGATAGTCACTTCCTAACACCTTTGCTGACAATCCACACACCCACACCGTCTTTTCTTTTAATACATTATTTTGGTGAGTCATTAACTTTAATGGAACTTTATAAAATTTTCAAACCCCCTCTGTCTTCTTGTGTGCATCACCTCAGTTGCCCTTTGTGTGATGACTAATGTCTGAGAACTGACAAGACACTCTGATTGGGTGATTTCACAGTCTGTAGCCCCCTGAAGTGTGCATGTATGTGCGTTAGGGTGGGTGTACTGCATGTGTTCACGTGTGTGCATGTGAGTCAGTGTAATAAGTCACTGCAGGGCATCAGAATGGCTAATTCTGCTCTTAACAACCTTAAAAAGAGTGGGGAGCATGTTTTATTACTTTGAAGAAGGATAATTTTATGGCTTTTCATTATTGCTTTTGAATTGGTAAGATTATGGGCTTTTGCACTAAAGAAATTAATAAAAAATCAGTTTCAACAGCTTACAGTGGAACATTAAGGATACTTATTTTCACTTCATTTTCATGAAAAGAACTGAAAAGAATTATTATACATGGTACTCTATGTAGTCTGCAGTGACCTCTGATGTTACTGAAAACACAAGCTCATTAAGATCATCATTTAACATGAGGAGTGCCTGAATTCTAAATATAAACATTCTCACAACTGAACAAAAACTCGCCATACCATATATATCACCTTTAGCTGAAAATCCTATATTATACTGCAATGCTTCGTTCCTGAGAGTAAAGGTGACTTACAGTATACATCCTCCACATTTTGCAAAGTTTAGAGGGATGTATGGATCAATTACAAGCAAAAGGGATGACATGGTGACAGGTTTCATTTTTTTCTAAACAAATACATAAAAATAAAAACCAGATTTCTTTTATTGCAATGTTCATTGACACAAGTGGTGCACTCAAACCCTTTCAGAACATCAGAAAGCAATAATCTTAAATGTAATCATTAAAAGCCCCTCCCCATTATAAATAACATGTCAATACATCAAAGAGTGTTAACAACTTTCAAACCAGTCCTCTGAATTTTGGTGCTGAAGAAACATAAAAAGGACACAAAAAAGTGGAAACAGTTGTGAAGGCAGTTTTTGTAATAAAGTAAAAGGTCTTAGATTTATTAACACGTTTGCAAACTGACACTCAACCTTCAGCAAGATGCTTCAGACTGAGTGTGTTTGATTCTTCTCATCCCAATTTGTCCCCAAGTAGCAGAAACAGTAGGGTGGAGTGACTGTCATCTGTCAGCACACACATCCAACTTGTAACTGCAGTAACAGCTGTCTCCTTCCCATTGACATTTACAACACACAATGAAGGAGACAAATGAGCAAACTTAATAGAAGGACAGAAAAACAGTGACATGATGAGACAAACTCAATATTGTTGCAAGTATCCTATGGTCTCACTGTCTTTTCATAATCACAAAGTTCTTTTCAAAAGCAAAAGACTTAAAAGAAGTTAAATTCTTCACAGTGGTCATGATCAAAAAAGGCAAATCATGGGACATCACCTGGCGTCACTTGATATGAAGACTTGGTTCAAATGTACCAAAAGCCTTGAAGACTTCAAGTGCAGAGCATTTTCTTTAAATTTCATTTAAATAAACTAGACTCAATGAAATAATGATTAAAGCAATGGTATACAATCATAAGAAGAATGACGTCTTGAATGAGAATGATGCTGGAGTCTGTGAAGGGAAATGATCTTGCCTGCAGCTGCAACTGTGTTTCATAAACAAAGACTGTATCTGTGAACAGGGAGCACTTATAGTGATGTATGAGAAGTACTCTACATGCAAAACATCAATTTAATATCGGTTCAAGTTTGATTAATTACTGAAGACAAAATCATGATCAGGGAGGCGGTTGGAGGGTATCATAAAAGTGATGTCTCGCAGGGTGGCTTGCCCCTGTTGATGTACTGTACTACCCCTGGCTGTGATTGTGATTATTTAGGCAGTTCACATAAAACAGGTTTGTAACTTTCTAACAGCAGGGAATTTTGGAGCTGGAAAATACTGAGTAATCTGAGAAAGCCTTTACTATTCTGTTTCTCTGTCTGTGACTGAAAGCATGCGAAATGTACTAGTAGTTTGTTTTGCCCATATATTTATGGTACCTCTTTTCTGACTTATTAACAATACCACTGCTTTCTAAGTCTCCAACTCTCACAGCTCATACCTCTGAAAGATTCTTAGGTCCAAATGAGTTGAAAAGGGAAGATACTTATACCTTCTACCTACAGGAAATGGAAGACTGGAAAACAAGATGGATGGGCTTTTCGGTTTGGTAATGACTCACTGGGATTATCTTGGCAGTTTTATATGCTTCATACACTGCATTTGCTTGCACAGAGCAACCTGGGCCATATGCCAGTTAAAGTGTTATTCCAGGTACACTGTTTACCTGCACCTTTTACACTATGTGATGGAGCGCCTACTATGTTTACCTAAAAATAATATTTCCATCCACTTGTGGTGTCCTGCACTTTGATAAAACAGCGTGCCAAAGAATGGAAAAAATATGTAAATAAGCTTTCACTGGATACCTACCTGCTTTTTTGACTAATACTACTTAAAATAGGTAAGAATGGGGAAGAATTCATGATCCCAATAATAAAAACAAAACCTTCTTTTTGTCATGTTTTTGTTAACACTGAAATTCTTATATTACCTTTGTTTCACACTAGAGCCATGGACACAGAACCTCATTTTTATTGCAGCTGAGTAATATAAGTATGTAACAAACAAGACTAAAGTCTAGAGTCTAGGATATGCTAAGCAAAATGTATATAAAAATTACATTCATACTTAGAGTTAAATCAAATTTTTAAGCTTTTCAAAACCAAAGCGACTGTAATAAGTTGAAAGAGACTGTAGAGGAACCAAAAGTGAAAGAAACAAGATATTTACAGGTTACAAAAACAATTTTAATACTGAAGTACAGCATGACCTGAATACTGTAGGTGCTATTTAAAGTGAATTCAAATGCTCATGCATCAATATGTGTCATCACCAAACCAGGTTACTTGAGTTAAAAATGGAATATTCTGAATATGTAAAAATAATGACTGAAATTTGGCTGCAGGGAAAGCCACCAAACTTTGCGATCACTCTAGGGGGTTTTCGGCTGGCACGACATGAAAAGGCAGAGCTAAACAGCTGTAAATGAAGAATATTTTTTTTGCAGTTTTTTTTAAATGCCATTGCCAAGTGCAGATCTTGAACTGCTGGCTGAAAAGTCACATAACTGTACTTGCATTAAGATTTCATGTGTCACTGTTTCAAATGAAGCCAACAGGTCTTACATGAGATCACCACTGATCAGTGCCATGCTCACCTTCCACAATCTTCCCAGTGATTATTCATTTACTTCCACAGTGTGCGTATATTTCTCTTTGCATTTCATAAGCTTGGTTATTCCATCTGGTGCCCTGATCAAGTCTAAAAATGGTATCTCTTTCTCAAGCACATCTAAATGGCGATGTTCAACAATAGAAGTGAACAGCCTGTCTCTGGCTGCTCAACCTTCAAACAAAACCCTTAATCAACAAATCCAAAAACATTCTCTATAAATACAGCCCACCAGTGGGCAATGTTCATAAGGTACTTTTGCTGCTAAACATAACGTAGCAAGTAGCATTTTAGAGTTCCATAAAAGCCCATATTATCACGGAGAACTAGAGAAAAGCTATTACACTCGCTGGGCATTCTTAGAAAGCATCCAGAAAGCCTTTTAGTACTTTCATTTGCAGATGTGTTTGAGCATTGCTGTCAAATCTTTAATGACTGCAGCTGTATCTGTAGGCCTTTTCTTAAATGAAAACTTCTATAAATGTGTTCAGTCTTAACCTGATTGAAAATGTCTGTACTATGAGTTTGGGTCACCATGCAATATGCATATGCTAACTCACTCGCCACTAACTGTGGCATCTCAAATATGTCATTCA